GAGGAAATTCCTTAACATCTTATTGCTAAATCTATTATTCTAGATGTGAAAACCTTTAATGACGTCATTATTGGGGGAAAATCTGATCATTTTAACTCTGGATCTAAATTATTTCAGCTGTTTGTTTATAAAGTTTCCTTCTGGATCCATGAAGGGAAAAAACTGAGCAGATGATTTTCCATCACTGACCTTCTGCCGACCAATCAGGATCCGTTATTCCAAACAGGAATGTTTTTTGGAGAGAAGCCGTGTTTGTAGATCTATGTCCAATAGAAGTTGCTGATGAAACGCAGAGAATGAATCTGAATTAAAAATCTACCTTAAACATCAGAACTTCGATGGTTCTAAACGCTGCTTCCGGTCTCCTCACGCTGCTGCTCTCTGATTGGCTGGCGGCGCGACACCAGGCTGTTGCGTTTAGGATGACCAATGAATTTTTGATATCAGAAAGACAATGATGTTTTAGTAATAATACCCTAATAACTGACCACTAATACCCTAATAATACCTGCCTTCTGTGTCAGAACTGATCTTTTACACAATAGTTTAATGTAATCAGGACAGTTTCTCTGTCTGGATATAATCTTCATTCTGCACGTGGCAAAGATTTGGAAATAGAATGAGAGCGAAGTCCTATTTTGATAAGGCTGGAGCCATGGATTCCTAATGTCATGATAGGATGATGTCATGATGTGGCAGACTGGAGATGTATAAAATGCTTCTTTAACTGTTAATCGGAGCCACTTCCTGAGAGGTGAGCAGCTGCTTTCAGTAACTCTGAGCAACTTCTCTGATCTGAGTAAGATTATAATTTCTATCAGAATCTGTTTTCATGTCTGCTGGTTATTTAATGCATTATGAAATGTTATTGAAAGAGTTTGTCCTGAGTGATCTCTTTTCAGGGAAAGAACCAGAGAGATAGAGCTTCAAGGTGCAGACACACATCTTTAACATAATGAAGTATTAGGGGTCAGATGGTCTTAAATAGCTTCCTGCGGTCAGGTTTCCTTTTTGTCTGTGGAACAAGGAGGTCCAGTTTTAGTTTTAAACTAGGAATCCTGAAGGAGCAGAGCGCCCCCTGCTGTAATATATGAAGAGTACACTTCCTGTTTTCTCCTCCTGGGAGCAGTTTTCCAAAGACTTTCTCTTTGATTTTAAATACTCCTTTAATAAAAAGCTTTATTACATATACAGAATACAATAAAACCAAACTGAGACCATTTCCATGATGAACTCGGTGTCAGAACCATGATGTTTGTGTAAATTAATGAAGCCGCTAGGATGTTAGATTAAAACCTTTTCTACTGCAAATAGATGAGGAGGAGGTCAGCTCTGCTGAGGCCATCATGAGGAACAGGTGAGACATAGACAGGTATGGGGCATTGCAGGCTACAGAAGAATCCAAATGACCCTCATTCCAAAGGGGTGGACCCGTTCATCCGTTTCTATTTGCATGTTTTCTAAACTAAAACAAGGTTTTGTTGGGCTGCTGGATAAAACCTGGAACTCAAAGCTATTTCTGACATTTTGAATTAAAAAAGCTTCCTGGATGGAAGAGGAACATCTTCAAACTTGGAAACAAAGTCCAGTGGATTGATTTGAACTTTTTTGGAATGACTCTGACCTGGATGGCTGAGGTCAGCTCTGCTGAGGACATCAGATGAACTTTAGCTGAATAAAAGCTCTGACTGTAGTGATGAACAGTAGAAATCATCTCAGCTATAAAAATCCTTTCTGTCCAAATCAAACCTTTTAGTCTGAATGTAGATAAACGCATTAAAGGTTATTTATGGTGTCAATCAGTCAGAGCTGCTTCTTAACCTGGGAGGTTTAACAAACCTGATGACGTCACGTTTCTGCTAATGAAATAAAATACATTAAAAATAGCTTCAAATGTTTTGGAGGCAGGTTTATTTCAATCTATGATCTTTATTCATCACCCAACATGCAGGACCCTCCTCCTCCTGTGGGGGGCGCTCAGAGCCATTCACTGCTTCTGCTCACATCAGAGCATTCAGAAAGGTGTTTGAGAACTCTGGTAACAACCTGGTGACACTAGAAGTTTAGTAGTGATGGTACCAGGAAGCCTTCCAACCCAAAGGTTTGCCTAAAGATTCATTCATTCATCCATTCATGCTGCAGCACATACACAGCCCTCAGGTTTCTAAAATCAGAAAACATCAATGTCTGCACTATTGTCCAATTTAAATTATTTATACCACCAGATAATCTTCCTAAAATGCTGACTGTTGTTTTATGTTATTTCCTCTGCTGATTTAAATGTTTTCTATTCATGAAAATCTTGTTTTTTAAATGATCTTTTTCTTGGACTTCCTTTAAATGTTTAAAAATCCTTTAAAATTTCAAACAGAAGTTCATTCATCCAACAGCATCCAGCCGGTTTCTCTCTCTGTCAGATTATTATTGATCAAACAACTAAATGCTGAATTTCTAGTGGGTGAGTTAGGGTGGTTTTTATTAAAGAATAAGACATTTTTTACAGTATCTGGTTTAAGGCAACAGAGGCGTTGGATGTAGGAGTTTGCCCTGAAATCGAAGGGTTGACTGATGGTGGTCAGAGGGCCCAGTGGCGCCAGTGTACGGCAGCCCCGCTTCTGTCAATGAGCCCCAGGGCAGCTGTGGCTACAATGTAGCTTGCCACCATCAGTGTGTGCGTGAATGGGTGAATGAATGTAGTGTAAAGCGCTTTGGTCAAGTCTCCTAACTTGAATAAAGGTGCTATATAAGTACATGCCATTTACCATTTCATCAACTAATTTTGACAATTTAAACAATAAATTAAATTTAGATCATTTAAGTCAGATAAATAGTCAAATAATTTTAGTAACAACGTCGTACTCAGGCTGGTGTCTGTAGTTTATGATTCCTTATGTATGGTTCTGTAATGCCGAATCATTGAGGTGTTTTTATTGATTGATTGATTGATTGATCTCACAGAGGAGAATTTTACTCTTGACTCGTAGTCCAGCTCCAAACAAAACAACACTTATTAAACCTTGTTTCGAGTCATTTCTAATGACTCCCAAATGGAAGAGCTCTTCCCTTTTTTAAACCATTCTGCTTGGATTATTCTGCTGATACTCGATAAAACTACCTACAACAAGCAGAACGCCTCTTTGCGCCTTTATTTTGAAATCTGATATGTGAAATGAAACAGTGACAGCAGTGAGGCATTGCTTGTTTCCGCTCACGAGCTTTTCCAAAGACGGCAGAAACATGGAGGAGCTTCATTAGACACGCCTCCTTTTTACTTGACACACGCCTGGAAGACTGGCTTCAGATGTCTTATCACTAAAGGTTAGGGGTTGGAAAGGCTGAAAGGGAGTGAAAACTTTTTAAAAGGAACTGTTAGTTGTCGATTGAATGAACATGAAAGGAGTGTTTCCATCAGCATCTAGCATTGGAGACCCTGCAGATCAGACGGGAAAGTTTGGTGGAAGGATGTGACATGGTTGCATCACAAGATGGCGCTGCAGCACAGCCAGCCTGTTCACGCAATGATTCTGAGAGTTACTGCGGGCAGGACTCCATCTTTGTTTTGTGTCTTAAGGCCTGGTTATCGTCCCGCAGCAGTGTGTCGCAGTGAGCTTGTCGCAGATATTTTTGATTTATGCCAAATATTGAAACACGGCCTGCGCTATGTTATTCCACGCCTCAACGCCAGAGGGCCAATCAGGAACTAGCTGTGGGTCTAGATATGACCGAGGCGGTGACGAAGTGGGGGCAAATTTGTGTGACAACGGAGGTACAGGAGGGCCAAAAAGAGCGGCGATCCAGGAGGAAAAAGGGTCCCAGCGTTCTCGCGCAGCTCGCTCTTCTAGTAGGTCCATCTTCACCAATCGTTTTTCACAATGGCGGTCAGACAAACAAAACAAGGCGGTAAGGTACCAAACAAGAAATACGCATAGAGTAAAGCGGATGTAGATTTGACCAATCAGAGGCCTCCTGTCTGCGATTCCCTACAATTTTGGAGAGGTGCAGCAGAGTGTCTGCAGAAGGGGGCGGGGCATATCTGCATTAACTGCAACACACGCTGACCACCTGGTTTCTGAGTATAAACCAGCTTTGAGACGGATGTGGCGATAGGCAGTGGTGTCAAAAGTACAGACATTTGTTACTTAAGTAGAATAATTAATACTGCAGTTTAAGTATAAACTCAACCTCTTTACTCAAGTATAGTGAAAAAGTATGTGCTCCAAAAACTACTTAAAGTATAAAAGTATAAAGTAACCTTTAAAAAAAACAGCCAGATGCCACAAGATGAATTAAAGCTTATTTTTCAACTATTTCTAAAAATTCTTAGAGATAGGGCCAAGGATGAGGGAGGTCTTGTTGGTCTCCATCTCCCGATACGCTCTCACCTGTGTCCGACCTTTCAGACATTTCAACATCTTTTTCTGAATCCTACATTGTAGCATGGCATAGACACCTGCTTGCTTCTGATGATTTCCTTTAGCTAACCAATGAGTGTTTGCCTTACATAACACATCCAATCACACTAGTTTTCACTAGATGTGGATGGAGCCAATGATCTGCATTGGGTGGAGCACATGACGGGAAATAAATATTTAGAAACATTAAACCGAAACCAAGAGTAACGAGTAACGTTTGTGTTAAAAATGTAAGGAATAGAAAGTACAGATACCTAAAAAGTGTACTTAAGTACAGTAACAAAGTATTTGTACTTCGTTACTTGACACCTCTGCTTCTGTCCCTGTCTAAAGAAGACCTGCTAACTCCAAAGCAGCGGTGTAGAAATAGTGATTACTAATCTTATTCTTTCCAGAGTCCTTAATAAAGTGTGAGTGGATGAAAATGAATGAATGAGTGAGCTTTGGAGAAGCTCCTTCAGGTTCTCTCTAACCTTTCCTATTTTGAAGGAACCCCTGGAGGTCGTAGAAGCTGAATAACCTGGGCGGAGAGCAGAAACTGTGACTAGGACACTGGTTCTCATTGTTCTCTTTATTTATTCTTCCAGAGATAAAATGATGGATCGGCTTGGGTTTGGCGGCCCGTTAGAGGAGGCTCTGCTTTCGGCTCAGGTTCTGAGCGCAGGCGATCATCCGCTGACTGACATCCAGGGAAAAGGAATTTCTACGTCCACCTGCTCCTTCCTCACTCGGATGTACGGCGCAGCGCTCCGAGTCACCTTCTCCATCACATCCACGCTCCTCTGTACCGCCTCAGTCAGATTAGAATGTAATACTGTGATGAGCCCCTGGGCGGCGCTGTTCACTGGCTCCATGCTCAGAGCGCTGTGAGCCTCTTGGACCTTCAGCCGAACAGCGTGTTTAATGTCTGTACTTGTCCGCCGAAGCCACCGCATAGCATGATAACGAGCAGCTACAACTTCCCTCTTCAGGTTCCACATGATCTCACTTCCATTCACCACAACCTCAGTCCCAGGAATAGTGAACGTGTGGTCAGCAATCATCTCCATGATGTTCCTCACTCGGATGTACGGCGCAGTGCTCCCAGTCACCTTCTCCATCACATCCACGCTCCTTGGTACCGCCTCAGTCAGATTAGACTGTAATACTGTGATGAGCCCCTGGGCGGCGCTGTTCACTGGCTCCATGCTCAGAGCGCTGTGAGCCTCTTGGATCTTCAGCCGAACAGCGTGTTTAATGTCTGTACTTGTCCGCCGAAGCCACCGCATAGCATGATAACGAGCAGCTACAACTTCCCTCTTCAGGTTCCACATGATCTCACTTCCATTCACCACAACCTCAGTCCCAGGAATAGTGAACGTGTAGTCAGCAATCATCTCCATGATGCTGGACTTCCCCTGCTGGAACATCTCTGAGATGGAGAACTTTCTGTCTGATCCAGGGACAGAGAAGTTCCTGTTGTTTAGGAAGTCACCTGTAACTTCTCCAATCCAATGGTTTCTGAGATCCATCGAATCTGGGAAGCGAAGGGTGTCAGAAGCTGCATGGTACCAGTGCAGGCCTAGATCAGCCAGGGTTTGGAGCGCGTCCTGCAGCGCGGTGAGGGAAGCAGACGCGACATGGTGGACGCTGTCTACCGCGTTTAGCAAAGCAGCCCTCAGCTTCACAGACGCTCGGTTCAGATCGAAGCCAAAGTGAGAGACGTGGTACTTGTTGATGAACTTCAGAAGACTGTTGGTCATTAGAGGGATCCGGTCCTTGAAGCCTGTGATCAGATCATTGATGGAGTCCCAATTCCAAGACGTCTGCAGGACCAGCTTGTCTGAGTTCCTCAGTGAAGCTTTGGCAGTCAGAAGGTTGATGTCCTTCGCAGGATAGTCCTGAGGATGAGAAGAGAAGCAGCTAAAGCGATGTGAGAGTTTGGTAAGAAAGGAAGCAGCAACATGGGAGAAAATCACCAGAAAGCGGCTGAACAGCCTGCCGTGCAGCAGCGACGAAGACCGTCGCAGCTGCGACAAAGACCGTCGCTGAATTTGCAGGTCCAGGCCCAGGAAACCAGCGGATGGAGATGAAGCGGACGCTGTAATGCTGTCTCTGTGGGACGCAAAGCGGATGCTGAAGTCTGTGAAGGTCGGGCTGGTGATGTCGACATCCAGGGTGTGACGATAGTCCCTAGAACACCAACTGTTAGAACAGAAACACTGGACCCATTCTGCTGACATGAAGTCCCAGCAGAGGTCAGGAACCATTAGAGAAATTCACCAATGAGGTTAAGGACACAGAGGAACTGTGATCTTCTAGTTTCTGACATGACCCTCAGAAAGTCATAAACATCTTCAGAGGAACCAGTTTAAGAACATTCTAGGAAATGATGATGCAAATTTCTGATTGAAACCCAGACTGATGTTTCTGTTATGGCCAGGATTCAACCAGAGGGATGGATTTGCTCTCATCTCTCCAAGGATTTGGTCTAAATGTTGAACTCTGACTCTCTTTCCTTCAGCAGTGGAATCTTGCATCAGGAGGCTGCATATCATGTTAAATCAGCCCCCTGATTTGACCCTTCGACTATAAGGGTCCCACGAATGGGTCAGAACCTGGTTCTACTCTCTTCCCACTGATAGACTTCAGTCGGTGACATTAATCTAACATTTTACATCCTTAATTTGTTCAGTTTTCGTTCCGTTTCACTTCTGGGTTCAACTTCTGGGTCATCTGGATGGGCTGTCCCAAACATCTGCTGAGAACTTCATATCAGCTCCACCTTCAGAAATGTAGGAACCTACAACACGTCTGGTCTTATTTTAGCTGTTCCTTCTCCCATTTCTGTTTTTTTTGGTTTGTAAGGAAGAAAGTTTTGTCCAGTTGAAGACTTACCGGCTCACAGAATCACCTCGGGAGATTTGACGTTTTATCCTGAGAGGAAGAACAAGAGAGAAGAACCTTCACATGTTGGGTAACACCTTTTAAAAATGGTTGTAAAGTGATTGTAGCAGCAAGTGTTTCCTGTTCTGCAATTTGGATTAAAAAAGAGGCAGATGGATGCCTATCAAGCCGAAGCAACTAAAGAATGGCCGGAGGACTCCGACATAGAGAGCACTGTTAATTCCTAATTGTTAAAGCATCAACAGCTTTGTCCAGGTCACAGTTTTTATAGAATCTTCAGTCTCCTGGAAGGTCTGAATTGTTTAGCTGTTTTGTCAATTGTAAAAAAAAAACAAAAAAAAACAACAACTAATAATTAATAAACAGTTGTGAAATTCTTAGTTTACAGTAGGGTTGGGAATTGATAAGATTTTCACGATTCCGATTACCTTATCGATTCTGTGAAATGATTCGATTCCTTATCAATTCTTTTATCGATTCTTTTATCGATTCTTTTAAATGATTCAATTCCTTATTAATTCTCTTATCGATTCTGTTAAACAATGAACTTGATAAGTGCTCGGTGACATTCATCTACCTTCGCTTGGGACTTTCTATCTCTGCCTGCCCCGGTGAAAACAGAAGTCAGTGAACGGGAGCTGCAGCCTCTGATCCAGCCAGGCTAAACGTCTCGTCACAGTCATCTAAATCTAATGGAGAAGGCCTCCGTCTAATGAAAAAGCATTACTGTACAATTTCAGGAAAAAAACTCATCTCCCCTTGATGTAAATAAACGAGCGTCACCTTTCTATGGCTCCCTGAACTGCGGAGCAAATACGTAGCATGTTTAAAGTGGAATAAAGGTTCCAACCACCGGGAGCAGGAACAAATAAAATCAAATGTAATGATAGAAACCTTAGTAAGTTAAATAACATGCTGCTGTCATTCTGCA